TTAGAGGAGTGGGTGGGCAAAGTTTTGTGGCCTGCAACGTGCAGGTCAAACTAGATGACCACGATCATCCTTCACGCCTTACAGTCCATGAGTCTATGAGGCTGACATTGAGGCGTAAAACAGTGGGGTGGCCAACTGTTGTCAAGGCTTATTGAGGTAGAGGAAAACTCATCAAAAAGTTTCAAATGACTATCTTTACTTCCTATTTTGGGCAGAAGTCAGTTATTTAATATTGATTGAATTACTGTCATATTCAATAAATATCCACCATTTTTTTCATGTACTTGAAACTGCCACATACCCTCCACTTTGGCACATAATTTATCACCAGAACTTTGCAGGGAAAATCTTGCCACAGAATTCTGGTCTAGCTTGCCACAGAGTACAATTTGCTTTGATCGTGAGTATCTTCTTGATCAGAGAACTAAGAGGAGAATAAAGACATCTGTATGCCCTCAAAAACACTAGAAAATCTACTTTAAAGGAACCAACATGCACTGAAAGTTTGGACTAGATAATGTAACCGGGCTTTTTCTTCCAACATCTATGGTTCTGTGCTCTCTCTCTTTGAATAGGCGATTCCTTTTCTCCCTCATGTTAAAATTGAAACTTAAGAATAATCACAGACAATGAAGAATTACACTACAATTAACAAAGATGGGTTTAAGCAATATCACATCAGTAACAAGAATTTATTATTTGCACAGATTATGTACTTTATAGTAAAATGCTTTTATTCTTGTAATTCTTGTGGGACTCTTTTTTATCCTGTAGAAGTCCACATCTCTGATTCTAAGATATCCTTGGTGCATTTGACCTGTGTTTACACTGCCTTTGTGTATTTCCGAAGTTCTCCCAGGTCTCATGCCTTCCCATAACTTTCTTATACATTTTGAATGTGCACTTAGCATTAAGAAACCCAGGGTCTTAGTGCCATTTGTTAAAGGCAAAACAACTATTCTGGTGGTAAGTAATTCATCAGTTCATTGGATTCTATCAAACCATATGGAAGCTATTTTTTGCCTACCACTGTGCCTAATCTTGAAATTTTGTATTCCGATTACTTCTGCTGCATTCAGATTCCCTCCATAGACCCTTTCCCTGCAACAATCTCACCCCTGCCAGAGCCTTTCACTGGCCCATGTAGCTACACACCACAATGTGGATGCAGCCTGCTTTTCACTGCAGTGTGTAGCTACACATAACCTACATGTCGCTGCAAGAGGTCTGCACTGTAGACATAGCCTTAATGGCTTCATTCATGCATTTAACAACAGAGTCCCACATATGAAATTTTGCAGACCATTTAATGTGTGCTATTGCATTTAGGCTCTTTGAATACAAAAGTGTAAGAGCAGATTTGCCCCCTTTGTACATTTCCATGATTATACTAGGTAAAGTTTATTATGACAACTTCTTGATTTTTCATTTGATAAACATTTTAATCTAAATTCATTTTTGGTAAGTTTAATTAGTCAATTAAGACCTGAAATACCACTCAAAGTTGATAAATATCTGCCTCAAATACTGCTAATATAAAATAATTCAAAGAAATGGCAATAAGAAAATATTTAGGTAGATGACAAGTATGACTAGAAAGGCTGTCAGGGCCAAACTAAAATATAATTCACTATGCTTTAAAATGGTCCATCAACATATTTTATCCTCAGATTTTCTTTATTCTCTTGTCTTTCATTTTCTATAAAATGAATTGATAGCTTGCATCTGACAATGATTTTAAAACAAGCTAATCTTAAACTCAACAGTCATAAAAATATTAGTTGCCAGTAATAGAATATACTCATCCTATTATAAGATTTAAAACCTAAAAAGTGCACTAGCCCTTATGGCTGGTGCCTGATTATAGGAAAGTGTCCCGAGGACCAGAAAAAAACCACTCAGCCACTATAGTGCAGCCTTCTGACAAATGATGCACACTCCTGGCTAGGAGGACTGCCACTGGTCAAACTCGGTGAGCTATAGCTCCTGCAATGACATATGCTACTAAGCCTGCAGTAAGCCTCATTAAAATCTGCCTTCCTCCAATGCATGAAGATTGTAGTGCACGGAGAGAGTAAGCACGAGTCCAATGATTTCAGCAGCTCCCTCAGCCTGTTTATGTGAATTTTCTCACTTCTTCACTCAGTCCAACTCCAGCTCCTTCCTCTGCCCTTTTGTTGTTACTGTGGTGTGCATGTCAGTTGCTGCCTCATGCAGTATCTGTAGACCACCTACCAGTAGTTTGCTGTAAAGACAGGTGCGCTTCAGTTAATGCTAGAGTAATGTAGAAATGAGAAAGGTTTAATAACTAATGATTTTTAAGTGAGTGGATGCTGCTCCCTGCTATGCAAAAGAGATATTAAACTTTCATATTCTTGACCTGTGTCATGTGACTGGAGCCAGGAAATGAAGATCACACTCTGACCAGCACTCCTGTGTATCAAATCTATTATGTAGTGTCAGAAGAAAACTGAATCTTTGGCAAAAATAGAGCAAATGAAGACACCTGTATCCCTCAGTCTGCAAAGGAAACTGGAAGAGAATTGGAGGTGGTAGCAGAATTTCCGAATTTTCCTGGAAGCAGGTGGTATTGCAGAGAAACTGGAGATGGTGAAATTCTTTACAATGCTACAAGTGGCAGGCCCAGAGGCTTTGGAGATCTATAAGGCAATCCAGTAGAAGCAAGAAAATGATTGTAAACAGCTAACCAAAATTTCAAGAATACTATGAGTCATGCAAAAATGTCACTTATGTAGGCACATTTTCTTTACTAGGAACGAGTTGCCAGGTGTATCATTGAGCCTTATGTTAAAGAGCTATGTATTAGACCTAAATCATATCAATTTGAACTGTTAACTAGATGAAGCAATTAAAGACCAAATTATTTGTGGTATAACTGATAAACAAGTCAAAGCAAAGTTATATTATGAAAAACTGAAATTAGTGATAGAACTGAAGTTCGTCTAATTAAAAATACATACCAAGGCATAAAAAAGTAAACAAACAGCAGAGACCATATATATTTGTAAGAAATGCAGAGGAATCATCACACAAAGATTTCCAGCACAAGGAGTGCAGTGTCATGCATGCAATAAAAAAAATTAAATATGTTACTCTCAACACAAATTGCAAAGAAATATAAAATACATTCAAGCAAAATATATTAATGAACATATAGCTGAAGGACAAATCACTGTGGTACAAAAAAAATCAGTTCTTTGTTGGTTCTCAATAAATTTGCAAAGCAATTTTCTACAAAAAGATTGGTGTGTGGCATGAAAAATAAATTAAAAATTTAAAATTAACTTTTAAAGAATGTGGTGAGATGTTTAATGGACTGGGATGCACTACGTATATGACATCACACAGAGAGATCCCCAAAAACGGAAATACTTTCCAGCTTCCAAAGTTACATCTTTAATGCACTTACCATCAACTTGCCTTAATAGTCTGCACCACATTTTTATTATATCTATATCTATATAAGCTCAAGAATCTCCTTTCTTATGTAACAGTGCTAGCAGATACTCAATGGATAGATGATAGCCTTTTTATTTGGAAGCAGATTGACAGGTTACACTGAATATCTGTGTGACTGATCTGAATGGCACAATGTCATCTGGAAACAGTCCAGGTAAGGTGAATACATCCACTTAGATACATTTATGAAACATTTTACGAGCGGGTGGATATGTTACAGCCCGAGGATGAGATTTTCAAAGCAGTGAAGATGACTTACACAGGTCTTCCTTTGAAACTGATGGAAGATGTGTGGCTAAGACCCCTGCATTTGCTCTGAAAATCTCAACCCTAGTTTTCACTTTTGTTTTTGTGAAGTCAAAATCAGGTTTCTCAGGCTTACCTGTGAAAACGGATTACAAACATATAGTATTTGAAATATGGCTGGATTCAAGTTATTATGGGAATCTTACTTTTTGCACTACCTATCTTTAGTTCTAAGATTCATAACCTTAGTGTTGCATTTAATCTAAATATGTCAAAAGTGTTTGTGCAAAAAGTCTCAACTTATGTTATAGACTTAAGAAGATCACTATTTAGCTTATCAGAGAAGCTGAAGAGGTGACTACATCACAGTCCATAAGTACCTATACAAGAAGATGATTTCTGATAGTAGATGCCTCTTTAATCTATCTGACAAAGAGTTAAGATTTGATGGCTGGAAGTTGGAGTTAGAAAATTGAAAATGGAAATAAGGCATAATTTTTATTTTATTTTTTTAAACACTGAAGTTAATTAATACTTGGAACAACTTACCGAGGGATGCGAAGGATTCTCCACTCTCTGAAGTCTTTAAATCAAGACCTGATATCTTTCTAAAATATATGCTCGTGCTCAACAAGATGTTACGGGCTTAATGCAGGAATTATGGTATAAAATTTTATGGCCTGTTATATACAGGAGGATGTCGACTAGAGGATCACAACAACAACAAAAAAATCTATGAATCAAACGAACACTGGAATTTAATTTTAAGTGGTATAGTGTAAGTATCCTCATCACTCCAGTGGTTGCTATCACCCATATAAAAAAAAAATTAATTCCAGCTCCTTTGTATATTACAAGTTTATACACAATTCCTCATTTTTAGAAACTGCCTTCTGATTTTAAATCCACTCAGCATTGTAGCTGCTGTCATTAGTCTCTACTCTTGCAATATGATACTCGATTGGTCCTCCCCAGGCTTATTTCCCCATAGTGATGGAAAAAGAAAGGAGAGAAGAGAAAAAAAACTGAGGGAATAAGAGGGGACATACAAGGGTAAATGTTTGTAAAAGGAAGAGCAAATCAAACTGACCAATATTATTATTGCATATAACATTCTCATATCTTCCTGGCTTACATACAGTGAGACAATTTAGATAGGTCAGATACCTACACATCAGGTATTTTTGCTTAAATATTTCTTTACAGAATATCAAATATTTATATCTTCCGTTTTATTGAAAATACAGCAGATAAACCCATGTAATTACTCCTACCTCATCTACTTCATTTCTTCTCTCCAGCAGAAGTCGGAACAGATTAGCTGTGATCTTGTTATCTTGGAGACCCTGTCCAAGGCCACGGTTGTCATCCTGCATAAGTCGACGGTCCATAATGACTTCTAACTGTCCTGAAAAACAAATATTGAGGTTATGTTGATGATAGCAGTATGTGCTGCTTTTATTAACCACATGAACGTTATTACTATAAACAGCAATGGTAAAAATAATCCAGATAATAGTTCTTGCAGCTAGAGAGTTTGTGATATTGATGGTATTGGGAGGGTTGAATAAGCATTTTCATAATGCCCTGGCTTTGGTTGCTTATAATATTCTCCAATTTTTACTTATCAGGCTAACATTTTCAAGCAGTGGTCTCTGGATAAGACTGGGTTTTTTTCCAAGTTTGTACAAAAGTTAGTAAGATGTTTGAGCTGCAGGAAAATGACAAATACTTTCCCTATTATAAAAGAAATTCCAGAAATTTCTATTTGAACAGCTCTAGCCCTACAACAGGGGGATGTGAAAGTTGAAATTTTACAGGAAAAGAGGGATTACTTAGGAGTAACTCTTGTTCTTCAAGAGTTGCCTCTGTGCATTTACACTTATGAGATGTGGCAACAGGCTGATAAACTGGCTTGAAAAGCTTGTGCCCATAGGGGTTGCATGAGAGATATGATATGTGAGGGTGAGGTCATTGGCCTATTCCATGTAACAAAGTGCACCTCCAACATTCCTTCTTTCTAACGACCAATGTTACACAGAACTCTGACGTAGAGCAGATGGGCAGATAAACTCTATGAAACTAAGACCAGAAGGGAATATTAGATTGTCTATCCTGACCTGTATATTTCACTCCATACTCCCACATTAAGCACAAATACTTTATTTAGACTAAGGCCTAAGCAGCTTTCTGCACTGTAACTCCTGAGGTGCACACACTGCCAGCAACTTAGTGCACAGAAACTGCGCTGTTGTAGTGCTCTAAAAAAACCCACCCCAACGAGAGGCGTAGAGCTGCTAGGTGGTCTAGTGGCAGAACTGGAATGTGCGTGCCATCTATCGTCCCTCCGCAGTTAGGGAAGCCCATTTGTGCAAAACCATCCACAATCTCAAGCATGTTGCCCAGAGTCACAGTCTTTCAGAGCAGGATGTAATTAATGGCACTGCACACTTCCATCAACACGACTCCAACGGTCGACTTTCCCACTTCGAACTGGTTGGCGACTGATTGATAGCAGTCTGGAGTAGCCAGCTTCCACAGTGCAATTGCCACGCTCTTCTCCAGAGACAGAGCAGCTCTCATTCTCGTGTCCTTGCGCCACAGGGCTGCGGTGAGCTCATCACACAGTCCCATGAATGTGGCTTTCCTCATGCCAAAGTTCTGCAGCCACTGCTCATCATCCCAGATGTGCATCACGATGTGATCCCACCACTCGGTGCTTGTTTCCTGAGCCCAAAAGCAGCGTTCCACTGTGGTCAGACCTCCATGAATGCCACAAGCAATCTCGTGTCGTAGCTACTATGTGTGGCGAGATCAATGTCGCACTCCTCTTGCCTTTGTAGTTTAAGGAATAACTCCACTGCCACTCGTGATGTGTTGGTCAGAGTGAGCAGCATCCTGGTCAGCAGTTCGGGATCCATTCCGGCAACCCGAAAGAGGCAGGGCGTGCAGTACACAAACTGTTGAAAGATGGCGTCAAATGTGGACGGAAGCACAGGGATTGCTATGATGCGAAGCAATGCATCACGGGTCATTGGGACAGGACCCAGGATGCCCCACGACCTCCTCTGCCTTCCCACAAGGCTTAGCGGCAAAAGAGAAAGAGGTGCTCTGTGGGATAGCTGCCCAGAGTGCACCACTCTGAATACTGCTGCAAGTGCCGCAAGTGTGAACATGCTATTGCACAGGCAGCTGTCAGTGTGAACACACAACAACAGTTTTCCTTCTGCGCTCTCTGAGCGGCACTGTAACTTTGTCGTGTAGACATGCCCTAAAGGGGGTGGGGGGAGATAGTACATAAGGATCTACTGAGATAGCACCTAGAGTACTATACAAATCTTTCAGCACCACTTCATATGCTTAAACAGGATTTATTCATGAACACTTTTATGCATAAAAGTAAATACTAAAAACTAGTTTTATGAACTGGGTTGGTAGATAGGAAACTTCTATTCACCTTCTCTTACAATGCAAGAATAAGGGGATATTCAATTAAATCAAAAGGTAGAAAATTCAAAACTGATTAAAGAACATACTTTTTCACACAACACAAAATTAGATGGTGTAACTCACTGCAATAAGGTATCACTGAAGCCAGAAGCTTAGCAGTATTCAAAAAAACACTTTTATAGATAAACAAAACTATCCAGAATTATAAAAGCAAACATTAAAAAAACCCAAGAGCAATGGATTGGACATAATCCCATCTCCTTAAGGACATAAAATAACCTCTAACTAATGGGAGTTAGAAAGAGAGTTTCTGTGGGAGTCAAGTATCAGAGGGGTAGCCGTGTTAGTCTGGATCTGTAAAAAGCAACAGAGAGTCCTGTGGCACCTTTAAGACTAACAGATGTATTGGAGCATCCGACGAAGTGGGCATTCACCCACGAAAGCTTATGCTCCAATACATCTGTTAGTCTTAAAGGTGCCACAGGACTCTGTGGGAGTAAATCTTGTATCTGACTACTGCATGGCTTCCTCTTAGCAACTAGTGCTCGTCACTGCTGGAGGTAGGATACTAGAGTGGCTGGACACTAGTATTCTGATTCAGAATGGCCACTCCCATGCTCCTAATATATTTCTCACACTACAAACTGTAATGTTTTAGATGTAGTAAAAATGTTTCCTTTTTCTTTACATTCTCAAGGAATGGATACTACACAGCATAGTAATCTGTGAAACAATCCTCTGAATACTTGAGATGATTTAATATGTAGGTCAGATTTTGAAAACCTTTCCCATACTGTACTTACCACTTTTCAAGCTTGTAACACCTAGAGACTGAGCAGAATGTAGAGTCAAACGAATGCCATCATCCTGGATATAAGCCATTGTAGTCATTGGATAGATATTTGCTTGAAGAGGCAATTTGTTCATTGCCACTCTGGGCTGAATCTACAATATCAAAATTAACATCAGTACATTCCACTGATATTTAAATATGTAAAAAAATGCAAAATATCTTTCTAGGCATTTATCTTATATGCTTTGGGAGCAACAATTGATAGACACCAAAGCAAGTCCCTCCACCGTATCATTCAGCTTTGCAGGGACTTATGGCCAACATTACTTCAGAAGTGGTGTAACTTACACATACTTGTAGTTCAAAGTAGTTTTCAAAAAATGGAAGGTTCTTCAATGGAATTTGAATAAAGAATTGTAATGGCTCTTAGCATGAGGAGCAGTATTTTTGAGAGAATTTTTTTTCTTTTTGTTTAGAAAGTAGATTGTGAATAAGCTCAAAGTAGTGTAAGAATTATTCCTAGGATTTCTAGCACCGATATAAATAATAGAAATCTACAGACATTTCTTGCAATCTGTATAGATGAATGTATAATATTATTAAATGTTCTTTAGTTATTTAAAACTTCACTTGATTTTTTTTTGATTTAAGTGCAGTACTACTTTGAAATAATTAAATAAAATGGCAATTTCTTACTTGACAGATTTGGGTCCCTATGTACTCAGAATCATATCTGGTGAGAATAGTGAAACAAAAGTTTTTACTACTTTTTACTTCTACAAACACCACAGAGCCAACATAGCTAAGAAAAATGATCTGCATTCTTTCCCATCAGATGCATCATCAATACTACGGCTTACTATGTTCCAATCAATTATTATATAATTTATATGCATCACAGTAGCCGCTAGAGGTCCCAAATAAGATCAGGGCCTGCTAGGCACTGTGCAAACACGTAGTAAGAGCCAGCATCCGCTCCAAATATCTTATAATCTAAATAGACAAGACAGAAAAGGAAAGGAATACAACATATCTATAGGGCGTGTGATGATTTGTTAATGACCTCTTAGTTCAATTTATTTTTATGCTTTGACCTCGAGAACTGTTTTTCAGGTGATCACAATGTGGACTGAGAAAAATGTGTGGTTGCCAGAAATGTTCTTGATACAACTGATGTAGCTTTGAAGTCCATTTTAAGGGTGGATTCTACTTTCCTGTTTGCAGGGGTTTGTTCTTTGTTGGGGTTGGTGGGTTGTTTTGCTTTTTTAAGAGAAGGCACCTTCCTCAGGAAATATTATGTCCTTTGCCATGGATGCTATCACTTTATCAATGTTGGGGAGTATTAAAAAGGAATTTTTGGTTTCTTAGATTCTGCAGAATTTCATGGCCTCTTGACAGAGCAGATGCCAAAATACAAACTCTGAGAAGTTATTTAAATCTTAAATTGCCTTGAAATGGAACATATATTTCTCCTTGAAAGTCTCTGCAATATTTGTAACATGCTAACTTCCAGGACTACTAACATCTACTTTAGTACATTATGTAGACTGAAGTTTCTGAGACAAAAATCTGAGTCTTCTACATATTCTGCAGCACACACAATGCTGATGGCACTCAAAAATAATGAAAAATGAAATACTTAATTTTTAAAAATATCTCCTCCTCCTTCCAATATTCATGCACAGAGGAGATTATTTTTGAAGAAGTCTAAAGCATCATACAAAATAATAATAATAATAATAGTCTATAAACAAAGGATATATTCGTACCATCATATTGTTATAACCAAACACAGTTTTTGTATACAACAAATGTCTGTCTGTCATGACAAACCAGCCTAAAATAAACATTTTTGAATCTTGGAAAAGCCATTCATAGAATTTAAGTGCATCTAAGTCAGGTCAGGAAAAATAGTATACATTTAAATCAATGCCTACTTTCAAAATAATTAACATTCTCATACTAAACTATTATTTGCTTGGGTAAATAAGACAAAAAAAATCAATTAAAAAACCAAGTATTAAGCCATGATGATTCTAAATTGTCATAGTCACTATATTCAGAATTAACAGATGGTAATTACCTGATATCCATTAAGGTCAGTGTAAAACCTGTTTTGGCTGTTTACGTCAGATGAAATTCTCATTGCAATCTCACGATTGTATTCTCCTCTAATGTCCACAATATTGGACAGCTCAAGAGACTCACCTTCCAATCCTAAATTTAAAAGTATATTTACAATTTCTGATTATTAAAAAATAAAAACCAAGTTCTATAGAGCTCTCCCCATAGCATAACAATGTTCCAATTCCGCTCGATCAATTTTCCTTCCATGTTAATGTCTACCCTTATAGAGAGAAGTACACCTCTACCTCGATATAACGCGACCCGATATAACACAAATTCGGATATAATGCGGTAAAGCAGTGCTCGGGGGGGGTGGGGGGGGG